CTGCATTAGTTTCCATCTCTCTGGCTTTTTTCCAGCACCTAGGGATCCTCTGAATAACATGTAACGGACTCCCATCCTAGGGTGGCTACACTCACTCCACTGTATCTACAGAGCAGCCATGGCTGTCACTTAGGCTGGACTTCAAACCAGGTATCTCCAAAACCCGTCTGCCTTTGTCTTCATGGGGAGGTGATGGGATTAGTAGTTTTAGCATCATTTTTTTGCTACCAGATAAGTTCATGGGAAGTGACAAGGACACTGCATTTCTGGCAAAATCAATATGGGATTAGTAGTTTTCACATTTTTTCTTCTAACCAGATAAGTTCATGGTAAGTGACAAGGACACTGCATTTCTGGTGTGTATCTACAGAGCAGATGGCTAGTCACTTAGGTTGGACTTTTTCTTTACTTGGTATAGCGGTTCTTAGCCAGAAAAAAAGAAAACAAATGCCTACACCACATTTAAAAAATAGTAAGTTGCAATACATTGGTTTTTTTGTTCCAGGGTTTGGTTTACTGTCCTTCAGACCTAGGGGGGCCAGTCTGACTGGTGGGAGTAGAAAATGCCCCAGAATTAGTGGGAGTAAAAAATGCCTCGGCCTTGGTAGTCGGTGGAGGTAAAAAAAAAAAAATCACATAGCACCTGTCCTTAACAGGAGGAGGAACAGTGCCCGATCATTGGTATTACTGGGAGTAATAATGATTCATCATTGGCACTAGTGGGAGGAATGCTGCCCCATTTATGGTGTCAGTGGGAGGAATAGTGCCTCATCTTTCTTTGAGGTCAGTGGGAGGAATAGTGTACCCCCTCACTGGTGTCATTGGAAGGAACAGTGCCCTCTCATTGGTGTCATTAGGAGGAACAATGTCCCCTCATTGTTGTCAGATGGCAGAATAGTACCCCATCATTGATATCATTGGGACAAATAGTGCCCCACTATTGGTGTCAGTTGGAAGAATAGTGTCCCATTATTGGTGTCAGTGGGAGGAATAGTGCCCCAATATAGAGGCAAGAAAAGAGCCATATCCAGCCCTTGGGCCAAAGTTCCACTGACCACTGATTTAACTCATCCATTATCTTTGATTGTAGATTATATACACTTTCAGTTCATTTGAAAAAGGTTTGATTTATCGTGTTTATAAAGAAGGTTTACTGTAGGTATATTTTTAAGCATTACATGCCCCTAATGTCTAATAAAATGTTCATTAGCTGTTTTTGGGAGCATGCCCACTTTTTCTCCTTTTTTGGTAAGTTTTTTTTTTAGTATAATATCTGTATATTTTTTCTTCTGTACTGTTTTAAGTTATTAGTTAGTAGCCCACATTTGTTCCCCCCCAATCTATGGAGAATCTTCTGACGCATACCATACTGCTATTATTGGATGCTATATGAAGTCTTCAGAAAAACAGTCCGCATGAAAAAATGGCATCCCCATCTTTTAGATTGTGTACTCTCATGAGCAGGGCCCTCTTGTCTCGAACTGTACTGTAACTTTATTCTCTACCTTTATTTTGTAAAATGTTTTGCAAACTTTTGGCCTTATATAAATCCTTATTATTATTATTATTATTATTAATAATAATATTCCCTGTGATCTTTGGGCTTCTTTGCTCTACACAGGAGGCCTCCATCTCTGCACCCAGGTATGGCAGCGTGGTGGACATAGTTTCACAGACAGTCATGCTCAGCAAACCAGTTCAAGCAGCCAACCCTAGAGCCCAATCACCTCCCGTAGCACACCGCTGAAACTTACCGAGAAGCTGTAGTGAATTCATGTATCTAAATGTATTTTCTATCCCGCTAGTTGAGACGGAAACCATCTGAGCCACATTATAACTAATTACATTGCATATAATCTCTGGAACATTTTTTGTCCAGATAAAGATCTGAAATCCCAAGATTTGGCTTGTATCACACATAGAAAAAATCTAAACAGAAATACGCAAATCTTAGAACTTCATAATGTAGAGATTATTGGGAGTTAGAGGGCTTTATGGGAAGTTATTATTCTTTACAGATCGGGCTCTGTGGGAAAATAAGCATTGATTTTTATGTTGTTCTCCATTTCCCGATGGCAGCAGTAAAAGATTTCTTACATATCCTCCGGTGTTTATATAATTTACCCTGAAAAGGGTTTCTATTTGCTACTAGTACTCTGTGCGGCACATTATCCTTTTTAATAACTAAAATAAATTTTAAAAAAGGGTTGTAATTTTATGTAAAACAAAAGTCAAAACTGCTTACTCTGACTCTAAACAGTTCCCCTTCCAATTGCTGATTTTTTTTAAATAAATACTGTACCTTCTGTTTGATAAAATGTTTTACGTGTGTGCCTAATATTTTATGATAGCTGTTTTCTATTTGTACCTGATCTAATATGGTATAATTCAGTGTTAGAGCTATAATTTTTTGTACTTTCACTTAATTCATATTTTAATGATAATTTCCTGTTTTATAATATTCTAATACTAATTATTCAATTTTACAACTGTTTTGTTGGAATGTGTTGCAAATGATTTTAGTCTTCTATATTTGTTGGGCAGCCTCTCTATAACTAGTCAGTCTCTCTCTATACCTTTGCAGCCTCTCTATATCTAGTAAATCTCTCTCTCTGTACCTGGGCATCCTCTCTATAACTAGTCAGCTCTCTCTCTCTCTCTCTCTCTCTCCTGTACCTGGGCAGCCTCTCTAACTAGTCAGTCTCTCTTTCTCTCTCTCTCCCTGTACCTGTGCAGCCTCTCTATAACTAGTCAGTCTCTCTCTCTCTCTCCCCGTACCTGAGCAGCCTCTCTATAACTATTCAGTCTTTCTCTCTGTACCTGGGCTGCCTCTGTATAACTAGTCAGTCTCTCTCCCTCTGTACCTGGATAAGTCCTCTTTTTAACTAGTCAATCTCTCTCTCTCTCTTTGTACCTGAGCAGCCTCTCTATAACTAGTCAGTCTCTCTCTTTGTACCTGGGCAGCCTCTCTATAACTAATCAGTCTCTCTCTCTCTCTGTACCTGAGCAGCCTCTCTATAACTAGTCAGTCTCTCTCTCTCTCTCTCTCTCTCTGTACCTGAACAGCCTCTCTATAACTAGTCAGTCTCTCTCTCTCTCTGTACCTGGGCAGCCTCTCTACTAACTAGTAAGTCTCTCTCTCTATCTGTACCTCAACAGCCTCTCTATAACTCTTTCTCTCTCTGTGTGTACATGGGCAGCCTCTCTAACTAGTCAGTGTCTCTCTCTCTCTGTACTTGGGCAGCCTCTCCATATTTAGTCAGTCTCTCTTTCTCTGTACCAGGGCAGTTACTGGGCAATCTCTTGCTCTCAACATATGTAAGTTTCTCTCTCTGTAATTGAGCAGCCTACACCTGTATCTAGACATTATGCCTTTTTTGTAACTGATCAGTCTCTCCCTCTCTAACTAGGCACTCTCTCTCTCTCTCTCTCTGTATTTAGGCAGTTGTTGGTCTCTTTCTGTAACTAGGTATGCTCTCTCCATTACTGGGCAGGTTCTGGGCAGTCTCTCTACAACTCTGCAGTCTCTTTCTTTAACTGAGCAATGGATGAGGAGTCTCTTTCTAGAACACCAGCTGTTATGAGACATTATTGCCTTTTTGTAACTGGGCAGTCACTGAGCAGTCTCTTTGACTCCAACTAGGCAGCCTCTCTCTCTCTCCATAACTGGCTAATTGCTGGGCAGTCTCTTTACAACTATACAGTCTCTCTCTATAGAGAGTTTTCTATCTCTCTCTAACCGAGCAATAGTTGGAAAGTCGATCACTGTAACTAGTCAGTCTCTCTCTCTGTACCTGTGCAGTTGCTGGACAATTTCTATCAGTGACTAGACAGTCTCTGTCACTTTGTAACTAGGCAGTCTATCTCTCTCTTCCTCTAACTAGGCAGTCTCTCTCTCTCTCTGTGCATCTAGGCAGCTGTTGGTCAGTCTCACTCAGTGACTATGCAGTCTCTCTCTCTCTCTGTAACTGGGTAAATGATGGGCAGTCTCTCTATCATTTGAGTAGTCTTTCTGAGTAACTGAGCAGTCTAGATCTATAATGGTGGAGCCCTTCTCTCTCTCTCTCTCTCTCTCTCTCTCTCTCGCTGAGCAGTCTCTTTCTGTACCTGAGCAATCTGTGTAACTGGGCATTGTATATCTGTAACAAAGTAGTCTTTGGAAAATATCTCCCAGCAAACAGGAAGTCAATTTCTGTAATGCAACAGTCTGGAGCAGTGGTTGTCAATGTATGAACTAAAGGGGGTCTTCAATGCAGCCCCTGACTTCACCAAAAGACAGCACAAAATGTTCAATATATGTAATGCTTGAGAGGACAGTTAGAAAATGCAGACCTAATAGAGGAAATGAGGGTCAGATAATGTAGACATGCTCCATTTTTTGGCTGGGGATATCACAGAAGACAATACCAAACTGGGAACATATTACACAAGGCTAGTATAGATCAGTGCTATTACCCTAATCAATGAGCCCACTGCAGACTGCCGAGGTCTGCACATCATACACCAAAGGGCCGCATGCGCTTGTGAATGACAGCTGTCTGTTATCTGTGTATGTATATCAGCTCTCATGTGAATCAAGTCGGTATAAACGCAGGTTTCAGGTAGGGCTGTGGGTACAAAGTCTACAGGCCTGTTCATGCTATGTGTACAAGTTCCTCAAAGACCCGGGTTGTAGGTAGGGCTGCGGTTGATTGAGGGTCTGTTGACCAGGTTTAACACGTATACAACAGTCATCAAACGTTCAAATGTAATATTGACAGCTATATTGTGTCTACATATCATCACACAATATTCTCATCTCACATGTACATTATTGTTTTGTCCACCTTAACAAATAAAGATTATCAAAAAGTCCATCTAGATTCTGTCTGAATTTTTCAAGCACATGTCTACAAATGAAAGCTTGTCAACATGACTAATCTATCTATTCCTTGGCTGGGCTGTGTGGCGGTGTGATATATAGTAGGTGTGCACATCTCTCAGTTATATGGTCTACTTACTTAATAAATCAGCGTGAATTTCCGCCTCAGTTTTTCCACCTGACTGTCGCTTCTCCACCGCCTCTGTAGCCAGGAACAAGAGTGGAAGCACGATGCATGTATTCACAAGAGCCATGCCTGAAAGAGACGTGAAAAAACAAATGACTGCCATTAAAAATGGAAATAACATGAGAGCAACTTAACCACTTTTGGAGAGACAGGCTAAATAGGAAAGATGGTGGTGTCTGTCTCTATGTGAGAAGTGTTCTCAGAGCGAGTGTGAAAGAGGACCTAGTTGATGGAGAGCGTGATGAGGCTGAAGTATTATGGGTAGAACTGCACATGGGAGTGAGTACTACAAAGGTAATCACTGGAGTTTTTTATAGGCCTCCCAGTGTTAATGAGGAGGTGGAAACTCAGCTCCTTGCACAGATCGAAAGGTCTGCAAGGGGCTGCGACAGTGGATAATGGGTGATTTTAACTACCCGGAAATTGACTGGAGTAATGATACTGCAGGAACAGTTAAAGGGCAAAAAGTTTAAACCTACTACAGGACAATTTTATGGTACAGTTCATAGAGGCCCCTACTAGGAATGATGCTCTGCTGGACCTGGCAATCTCAAACCATGCAGAGCTTATTAAGAATGTCTATATGAAAGAACATCTGGGTAGCAGTGACCATAACATGATTTCATTTATTGTTAGCTGTAAAAAGCAAGCAAACACCGGAAAAATAAAACCGCTCAATTTTAAGAGAGCTAATTTTCCAAGGCTGATAGCTGCTCTCAAAGACTTAGACTGGGAGGGAATATTGGCATCAATGAACACAACACAGAAATGGGAGTTCTTCAAAAAGACTATTTGAACAAACTGCTAAATATATTCTCATGAGCAACAAGTTTAAAAGGCTAAAAATGTGGCTTACGGCCAAAGGTAAAAAAGCTATAGATAATAGGAAAAGAGCTTATATTTATTATAAAAATGAAGGAAAGCTATCATCGTTTAAACAGTAGAAAGAATATAGAATATGGCAAAAGGAAATAAAGGCCGCAAAAATTTAAAAAGAACAACAGATTGCAAAAGATAGGAACAACCCCCAAAAATTCTTCAAATATATTAATAGTAAACAGGTTCGGTCCAAGCATGTAGGCCCTTTACAAAATAATCTAGAGTGGGTGACTGGGGACAAAGAGAAAGCAGCAGATTAATTAAATAACTTCTTTAGCTCTGTGTATACAAAGGAGCATGGGGGGAGCTCTTGTCCATAATGGACATGGTATTGACACAGCTCCAGATGATCCACGTTGGCTCACAATTGATATGATCCAAAAATATTTAGACAGAATAAAGGTGAATAAAGCATCTGGACTGGATGGCATACACCCACGGGTCCTTAAGGAATTGAGCTCTGTCATTTCAAAGCCATTATTTCTAATTTTCAGGGACTCTATAATGACTGGCATAGTACCACTGGATTGACGTAAGGCCAATGTGGTGCCAATATTTAAATAGGGGTCAAAATCTTTATCAAGTAATTATAGACCTGTTAGTTTAACTTCTATAGTTGGGAAGATACTGGAGAGTTTACAAAAAAGACCACATAAATGAGTTCTTGCTGGAAAAAAAATTTTAAGCAACAGACAGCAAGGATTCATGAAATACAGAAGTTGTCAAACAAATCTGATTTCTTTTTATGAGGAGGTGAGCAAAACCTTGGACAGAGGGGTGGCGGTGGACGTGGTATACTTGGATTTTGCAAAAACGTTTGACACAGTTCCCCACACATGGCTAACGTGTAAAGTAAAGTCTATAGGCTTGGAAAAATTTAAAAGTACCGTATTTTTCGCTCCATAAGACGCACCTGACCATAAGACGCACCTAGGTTTTAGAGGCAGAAAACAGGAAAAAAAAATTCTGAACTAATGGACTGCAGACACAGTACAGGGGATGACCAGAGACTGCGGACAGACAGCACAGGGATGACCAGAGACTGCGGACAGCACAGGGATGACCAGAGACTGCGGACAGTACAGGAGATGACTGCTGACCTTTGGGGAGGGGGGGGGGAGCGTGTACCTGACTTTGACAGGTACCCGCTCTTACTTCCGCGGAGTTGTTCTTTGATCTTACCTGTTCCTTTATCCAGCCGCACGCTGTCTTCACGGCTTCTGTAGTGTGGGCGCTCGGCATGACAGCCGGGTGCCCAGTGCGCATGAGCGAGAAGCACTTGCGCTTTGTGATTGGTCCGGCAGCTTCTGGGATCTGTCATGTGTCCCAGGTACCGCCTTACCATTCACAAAAAGCACCGCTTCTTGCGCATGCTCACTTGGCACCCGGCTGTCAAGCCCAGCGCCCACACTACAGAAGCCGGGAAGACAGCGCGCCGCTTGATAGAGGAACAGGTAAGGTCAAAGAACAACTCCGTGGAAGTAAGAGCGGGTACCTGTCAAATTCAGGTACCCGCTCCCCACCTCCCCAAAGGTCAGCAGTCATCTCCATAAGGTCCCGCTGCAGAGCTGAGCGGCCGGCCCGGTATTCTGACACGGCGGCGGTGGAAATACCGGACCGGCCACTCCATATTCGCTCCATAAGACGCACTGACATTTTCCCCCCTTTTTTGGGGGGAAAAAAGTGCGTCTTATGGAGCGAAAAATACGGTAAATGGATAGAAATGGTCTAGGGTTGTTAGTGGTGTACCCCAAGGTTCAGTGTTGGGACCCTTACTTTTTAATATATTTATAAAAGATATAGGGTCTAGGATTAAAAATCCCATTTCAGTCTTTGCAGATGACACCAAGCTGTGCAGTGGAATAACGTCCTTACAGGATGTCTCCAATTTATAAGCCGACCTCAATGCACTGTTTAATTGGGCAACTATGTGGCAACTATGTGGCAAATGAGGTTTAATGTTGATAAATGTAAGGTTATGCACTTGGGGGCTAAGAATATACATGCATCACACATACTGGGGGGGGGGTACAACTAGGGGAATCAATGGTGGAGAAGGATCTGGGGGTTCTGGTAGATCACAAGCTTAATAATGGCATGCAATGACAAGCTGCAGTTTCTAAAGCGAGCAAAATCCTCTCTTGTATTAAAAGAGATATAGACTCCAGAGAGAGAGATATCATATTACCCCAGTACAAATCATTAGTAAGACCTCATCTGGAATATGCAGTCCAGTTTTGGGCACCAATTCACAAAAAAGAACATTGGGGAACTGGAGAAAGTACAGAGAAGGGCAACCAAACTGATAAGAGGCATGGAGGAGCTCAGCTATGAGGAAAGATTAGAGGAACTGAATATATTCTCTCTTGAGAAGAGGAGATTAAGGGGGGATATGATCAACATGTATAAATACATCAGTGGTTCATATAGTGAACTCGGTGTAGAGCTATTCACCCTGAGGTCATCACAGAGGACAAGGGGGCACTCTTTACGTCTGGAGGAAAAGAAATTTAATCTCCAAACACAGAAAGGTTTCTTCACAGTGAGAGCTGTGAAAATCTGGAATAGACTCCCTCAAGAGTTGGTTCTGGCCAGCTCAGTTGATTGCTTAAAAAAATTCCTGGATTATTTCTTAGATACACAGAATATAACTGGATACTAACATTTATAGGTAAAGTTGATCCAGGGAATATCCGACTGCCTCTCGGGGGATCAGGAAGGAATTTTTTCCCAGCAGGTGCAAATTAGATCATGCTTTGCTGGGGTTTTTTTTTTGTTTTCCTCTCTATCAACTGTGGGTATAGGCAGGGCATTAAATCCGAATGGGGGGGTGGAGCCTAAACATGGCGGCGTCGGAGAGCACGATGTGAGTGCTCTCCGATAATCTCATACCCGACCACCCCGAGACCCTCACGGAGTGAAGCCCTACCTGATTGTGGAGGGCCCTGGGGAGAGAGAGGCAGACGCGGAGAGCGGAGCTTGCACGGACCTCCGGGAGGTGAACTTGCTGGGGAGATCCCAGCGCAGCTGCCGGGTTGCCGGGGAAACGAAGCTGGGAGGCGTGAGCCGCAAAGGACGACTGGGAAGTAGAGACGCCGGCCGGTTCCCTCGTAGAGAGGTAGTGACAGGTCGGCTCCCCTGGCACCACATGAATGAAAACCCCCGCGCGGCTAGAGGAGGAGAGATGCTGCAGGAGTAAGGGGCCAGCTACGGAGGACCCCTGGAGGAAAGTGGATGCTGGCTGGCGCCCTGATGTGACAGGGTGTTGCCGGCGTATAGCTGCCTGTACCCCCTGGACGGCTGTTTGATCCTGGGTCAGGGAGACCCATAAATATCAGATGAACCACCCTCCTTCCCTGAGTCGACTCCTAAGGACCGAGAAAGGAGGAGGAAACAAAGAAAAACAGTATTGGAAACCCTGAGGAATCCCCCCCCAGGACTGTGCAGCAGTGAAGACCTCCCACACAAGTATGGAGTCACCGTCCTGAGAAGGGAAGGGTGAGTGAAAAATGCTGGGAGCTTATTGTGTGGTGAACCCCTGAGTGATATAGGCTACTAAGGGGTGAAGGAGGGGGAGGATTCCCAGGGGTTAGAAGATAAGAAGAGAGGAGGCCCAGGCGTCCTAGGAGAGTAAAGGATATAGGAAAAACTGCAAGTCTACCAAGTTATTTAGAGGACATGAAGAATAAAGGTCCCAGGGAGCAGGGCCCAAAGGGTCCCAAACAGGAACAATAAAGAAATATACATCATATGGAAATACTACGCCAGAAAGGACCCAAGGTGCAAAGGGGGAATTGGACACACTAGTTCAGGAAGTAGTCCTAGATTATCATTGGGCTTGAATAGCAGCAGTAGCCAACAAATAGTGGATGGCCTGGGAAGGAAAGGATCTGAAGGTGAACTACAGGTACCAAATAAGAAAGAGATGACTGAAATGTTTCAAAATTTGGAAAAAACGATAAAACATGAAATGACAACTATTCGAAACGATTTAGGACATCTGCTATCAAGAATGGAAGAAACGGAGGAGAAAGTTAAAACCCAGGCCCAGAACATAGATAATCTAAGGAAAAAAATAAGCCAATTAGAAAATAACCAGAAAAAAATGATCTATAGGATGGAAGTTCAAGAAAATAAAGAAAGAAGGTGTAATCTTAGAATACGAGGAATCCCAGAGACTGCTAAAGGGGAAAT